TTTTGATTGTCAAGTAAAAGATTTTGTTTCCTGTTGAAGAGAGGGTCTTCAGGTATCCTAGAATCACTGTAGGAAGTAAGACTCAGTAAAGTTGAAGTTCAGATTTAATCAGGGAATCCTCCAATGCACAAATTCAATTTAGCCTCTTGGGCACCTCGGGTGACTGTGAAGGGCAGAACCCTGATGGAGGGTCTGGGTGCAGAGCTGAGCCAGGTTGAGGGGCTTCCAATGAGCCAAACCTAAGAAAATGTTACCATCCTCCAGTCAAAGGTGATTAAACTTGTCGCTTCATTGAAACAACACTAAACCAATTGGGGTAACTAGACCATCAGGGGAATTCAGACATTCAGGAATATATGGAATGTTGACCGCTGAATGTCATGTCTAGGTATTTGACTTCTATAAAGCATAAAAAAAATTACTTTCCTTGAGAAGGCAGTATGGACTGTGCCTCAAACAGAAAGAACCAGATACTGGTGTCTCACACCCACTCAATCCCAAGGTAAGTACCACATTTAGCACCCTCCACACCTTCTACCTTATTCAACACTATGGGCTGCTTCCAAGAAGTTTTGTCTCCAATCCTTTGGGAGATCTGGGATGGAAGACCTCCAAGGCCGGAGAAACGGCTGTTCCCAGTTTACTGGAATCTCAAGCACAGAATGTGAGTACCCGTCAAGTGCCTCTGGTGGAATCACTGGCCAATCTGATATTAGAACTCAGGCGCTCCCAGTATCCAGATTCAAATTACTAGACTGTCCCCTTCCAAAAACAGCAAATCCCCAGACATCTCTAGCACTCCCTGAGGTTGCAAAACACAGGCCACTGAGGTCAAATAAGTACTCTTTCTACACATCTTCTCCCCCGAGGAGTCTTTCTTTCCCAACAATTGATGATCAGGGATTTACGAGTAAAAAGCGGAGAAGGGGTTCTGCGTGCTTGGGCCAATCCTCTGTTGTTTTCATTCTGTGAATTTTCTCAAAGTATTTATAGATGGTAGTGAGATGCCATACACATCGCTAACCTTATTTTTCATATTTTCACACGTAAGCATGACGAACTGCACTCATATCATGAGACCAAGGTTCCTGGCTTTTGCAGCATTGGCTCTGGCTCTCCCACTATGTAGTGATAATGCTGACAGCTCGAGTTGCACATGCTCTTACTCTAGGTTAGGTGTAGTGTTTATATACTTATCTCATGGCTTGTTCAAAATCAAGCAGCTAATAATTGGTGGAGCCTGGTTCAAAATGAGGTTTGTGGGATTACAAAGTATATATTCTTAACTCCTGCACATACGGCACTGTTAAAATCCCACACTACGACATATGTATGTATGTATCTATGTGTGTATATCATATGTGTATATGTCATATATATGTACTGTTTGTATGTAAGTATAGTTATATGCATGCAGTGTTTCATTTTGACCCACAAAAAACTTGAAGCAGCTTAGAGTTTTTACATGTCCTTAGTAATTTCTGATTTGGAAGGTGACTATACGCATGAGAGTAATGTGACTTGAAACCAAAACGTGGATCGGAATGTGGGGCAAGAGGTCAATGACGAGGCTAAAGCGTGTTCTCTGTGTCATAAAAGACCCCATTTTTTTTGTTTTGTAGTCTCCATGCTGTCTGACCTACAGATACGGATTTTTTGAAAGCCTGCATCAAAGGGAGGGTTACCTATGAATATCTGCTGTACAACATGAATGCAATCCTTCTCATGTCTTTTACGCGGTCATCCTATTGCCTAGAAACATGTCCTGTGACCAGCGAAAATGACTGAACCACATTCTTCAGCAAGCACTTGGTTTCCATGTGCTCATACAATTATTTTAAGTCAGAAATGGAAATACTCTTCAAGGATTGCCTACTGAGAAACTAAAGAAAACACACTCAAATGAGAGATCAGAGCTGCTCCTTTCCCTCCAGGCTCCCTGTAGAATACAAAACAAAATCCACAGTGACCAAAACAACCATGTACATCTTGGCAGCATGGGGCGATGTCATCAAAACTCTATCATGTCAATTCCACAGTGGTTCAACAGGCACCACTGTAGAATGTTTGGCTTCTCTTAAGCCTCAGCAGGGAGAAGCAGCTGTTGCCCTCTTCCAGATAAAGTGACATATCCTAGGAGAAACAGAGTCCTAATTAGATAGAAATTAGTTCCCCTTACCACCCAGGCCACTCAAAAACAAAAGCACAGCTAGGCAACTTCAAAACGTAAGAAAAAAAAAAAAATTGGATACAGCAATTGTGTCAGTTTCATAGAATACATCTTTCTCCTGCTGTACAAGTACCAAAAGAACCACTTGCAAAACCTATAACATATGCCATCTTTACATTCAAATATTTTGTGAATATGTTACATAAAATACACTAAAGAAGATGTCACGGCTTTCTTGTACTAGAGTTTATTTAATATCCGAAGTATTTTGAATGTATTTACACAAGAATACATTCAAGAAATGTCAGTGCTTTAGTTTACTGAATATCTGAAATATAAAGCAGGCTTACATCCCCAGTATTAGTTTTTATTGATTAAGAGCAATGCTTGCAAGTAACAATGCATTTAGTCACAACTAGGAGAAAAATAGAGGGAATCATGCAATACTATACACAAAAGATTATAGTTTGAATTAAATAAATAAATAAATTACATTTTAATTTATATAAAATATATCCCCTGGGGAATACAGGAGGTTAAAACTATAGCTCTAGTCGCACAGGGTTTTTTTTCAGGCTTATTTCTCTTTGAAAGATAACTAAAGCTAAATACAACTTGAAAAATTCACAAACCAATCAGGTATTACTATTGAAAGAATACAATAACTCCAAAGACAAACATAAATATAAGAAAAACATATTATTAAAATCTAAGAAAAACAAATCTCGATAATTACATGATTAAGGTTACATAACCAATTCAGAGACTCAAAACTATCATTTTACCATGATAGTGATGAGGTCACGGATTATTTTTGTCTGGGTCTTATACTAAAACCTACTCATTCAATATACTCAACGAATAATTATCAAACGTTCTCTGTGCTGTAGGGAATGTGTTTGGCTCTAAGAAAACGTTGGAAAACAAAACAGACATAGGCCCTCCTCTCATAGAGCTTCCAGTCTAGTGGGGCAGACAGATGTGAACAGAGGCACCTCTAATACAGCCTGCAAAGTGCTGTGCTGTGGCCCTCCATCCTACAGGAAGGATCGTCTAAGCTGAGACCTTAGGACAAGGGGTGAGAGGGGAAGAAGGAAATGAAAAGAGATTCTAGGCACAGAGAGAGAAAAAAGCAAAGACGCCAAGGCATAAGAGAGCATAGTCCATTTCTACAACAGTGGTTCCCAGACAAAGGACCTTAGGTATTTGTTGGGCCACAGTGAATTTTCACCCATCAACAAGGAAATGAAGGCAGTGTGTTAAATCTTTTAAAAGCTAAAGTCATTCAATTTTAATAATTGTGTTTAAGGCCGACTGATTTCCTGGCGTTAAAATGGCTCCCCTTTTATAAAATGACAGTGATAGTAGATGATAAATTTTTTAAAAATAGAGGACCCTATTTTTTTAATTAGCAAAATTAAAACTGCAGGTATGTAAAATCTAAAAATCTGGGAATCACTGTTCAAACAATAACCTTTTAAAAGGTGTTTAATATGGTTAAAGGAGAGGGGTAAGGGAGAAGTCAAGACATAAGACTGAGGAGGAAGGCAGGGATTTCAAACAGGAAGGGCCAGGAAGTCCTGGAACTCTAGACTTTATCCTAAAAGCAATGGGAATGATTTTAAGCAGGAGAGTGAAACTCTATTTAGATTTGTAATAGATTGTTCTGGGATGTTGTGTGTAGAATGTATGTTGGACGGAACAAGACAGCAGGAAGGCAAGGCCATTTAGATAGCACTATAGTATCCCACGAGAAAGGAGAGAATAGCTAGAATTAGGGCCAAATCAGTAAGACTGAGTAGAAGAAGATGTCTTCAAAGGACAAACTTACCAGGAATTGGTGATTTGTTATATTGGGTAAGAAAAATGGGATGGTCAAGGCTGATGTCCAGGTTTTTCCTAAGTAAACTGAGCTGATGATAATTGGGCTTTACTGCGCTAGAGGATGTAGGAAAAGAGCACTTTTGTGGAGGAATTGAGGTGCCTCTGTCTTTAAAAGTCCATTAGAATACTTGTTTACAGAGCATGAGAGAAAGAGTTGAACTTCAAATATAAATTTTCTAAGTTACTAGCATATGGTTAGTTATTAAAACTCTAGATGTGGATGACATTTCTCCCAGAAAACACAGCATAAGACCGAAACAGGGCTTAGGACATACTAACGGGTTGTCAGCAGATAAACAACACAGAAAGAAGCCAGAGACAAAGTGGCCGGCCAGGGAGGTGGGAGGAGAGCCAAGAGAGCAAGGTGTCTTGAAAGCTAAGAGAAAACCATTTTACGGAGAGAGCAGACGGCAGTGCCAGATGCTGCGGGAATCCGTTGAAAGGACTGAAGAATGCCCTTTGAAATTAGCAACAAGGCAGTTGTTAAAGACCTTGCGAAAGGCAGTGGAGGGAGCCCAAGCCAGATTATAGAGTGTGCATCTGCAGGCAGGAAGGAGCTCTTTTGTGCAGTATGGGTATAAAAGAAAGGAAAGAGCCAGCAACTGGCTGGAGATGTGGGTTTGAGAAAGTGGTTGTTTGTTTGTTTTATAAACACAGGAGAGACGTATATGGTAGGAGACACTTGATAGGGAGAAGTTGAAGACTTGTTGGAAGTGAAGATAATTAATAGAAATTCACGTACAAAATACTGACCAGCTTAAAAAAAATCACAATGTAAAGGTTTCTAAAGATGTAAAATACCGTGTCCCCGTAAGAACACATGATCATTATAAAATTGTTAATGGATTTAAATACATTTAAGAATATAAAATGATTCCAAGAAATTCTGAAGGACTCCCATTTTAAAATACTTTTGAAATCACATTTGAAAATATTATTTTTTAAATTATGGCAATTTTAGCTCTTGTCCATAGAGATCATACTCCTTAAATAATATATATCTTCGAATGGTTGGTGGTAGAGAGAGCTTCTCCATTGAGGCTGGCTGGCAGAGTCGTTGGAGACCCATAAGTCTTCGAATTTTTAACCGACACAAATGCTTTAACGAGCAAGGATTCTCTAAAATGATGGGGAAAAAACAAGCAAAAAATAAAAACAGTATCGTGGATTGACTTGTAAGTTACATTCTGGTTTAGAATAACATTAATAGTGTCATTCTAAAAGTCAGATATGTATACATTTAGCAGCTGGCGATTTTAAAAGAAATTCAAAGTGTAATTAAGCATCCCAGGCCACTGCTCCAGAATACAGTCTCCATGAAGACACTTAGCTTGTTTCAGTGTCAGGAAGACAGTCTGGCTCATAGTGGATGTTGAGCCAGGACATGTTAAATGAATGAATGGAATTGGCTTAAGAAAGCAAATGCTGCACCTGAGTGGTTCAGTCAGGTAAGCGTACAACTCTTGATTTCGGCTCAGGTCATGACCTCACTGTCGTGAGATCGAGCTCATGATGAAATGATTCCATGTATATATAATTCAATCTCAGGTTTGTTTCAGTTTCTGATACTTAAACACTTTGTTTTTTTTTTTAATCTAACATCACTTAAATATCTGATATTAGTCTTTATTTTCAACTCTTTATCTATATTACAACACTGATACATTATCCCAGCAGTATGAGCTAATGAAAGGGCAGTGGAGTACATGGTGTTAGTTGTGGGCTTTGGACGGTTGACATAGATTTAAATCCTGGCTCTGCCACTTGGTATCTGTATGACATTGAACTTGACCTCTGTGATCTCAGTATTCTCACCTGTGAAATGTGGATAACAATGGGACCTACCTCATAGTGTTGTTTGAAGATCAAATTAATTTATGTAGAGTATTAGAAAACTGCTTGGTACTTTGTAACCATTCATAATGTGAACTATCACTCAGTTCAGGAATAAAAGACATCATATTTCTATTACCTTTGTGATTACCTTCTCAAAAAATTAAAACAGTGTTTTTCAAAAACTATGAAGTCATAATTATTATTACCCAAATAGGCAAAATAAGTCCATTTAAAAAAAAAATTGCATTTTATTTTCTTCTTTAACAAAGACACCGCCTCACATATGTCTGGAGGAATCCTGACATCCAGTGGTTAACCACGCTCACAGCATTCAACTGACTTCCACTCCAGCTACGTTAATGTATGACTGAAACAACAAAACACCACCTTGGTCTTCTTCCTCCTTAGATTTCCTTTCTAAAGTCAGCAGAATTGTCATTCTTTTGTAATAAAAACACATGGACAATTAATTAGCAGTTAGAAGCGAACTCTGTTCTGCCTATGACAGGAAACACAGCAGTGTTGGAGAGACTGGTTTGAGGGAAGACAGACAAGGGTTCAAATCTTTGCTTTGTTTTCCAGGTCTTTAACCTTGGGTAATTAAGGTATTTAAGACTTTGGGGTTTTTTTTTTCCTTACAGTCTCCAAAATGTTTTAACCTCTTTATTGTAAAAATAAAATATAAGTAACTACACACATGTATAGCTTTATGAGTCATTATCATTGATTATGAGATGAATATGTTTAATCACCCCCCAGGTCGTGAATAGAATTTCCCCAGCTGCCCCATAATTTCCTCCATAACCCATTGCAATCTTCATTCATTCCTCCCCTATAAGTTACCACTATTCTGACTTTTGTGGTAATCACTTCCTTTATTTTTTATTTATTTTTTAAAGTAACCTCTGCACCCAACATGGGGCTCGAACTTACAACCCCGAGATCAAGAGTCGCACACTCCACCGACTGAGCCAGCCAGGTGCCCCCGTAATCACTTCCTTTAGAGCTTCATCATCGAAGTGTGCCATCCCTGTGCTATTGTATTGGCAATATTTTTTAAAAATTTGATATGACCTTTAAATCTCTTTTAATCCATCCTCTTCTTTCCATCCACTTCTCTTCCCTTCAATTAATCTTTTAAGAACCAAAAAGCCCAGCAGTTGCCCATAGCCTAAATTTTGCCGATTGCATTTTCATGGTGCAGCTCCATGCTTCACCTCCATTTCTGGTTCTGGCAAATTGATAGCTGGATGCAGAGACTTGAGCAGACTCAGGTTTGATCTCTTGGGAAAAACTATAGCTGGTGTTGTGTTCTTTCATCAAGGGCCACATAATAAGATAATAGGAACAGCTGATGCTCAGTGACCACATCCATTAGCTGACTGGGGGTTGCAAAATGGTGACATCTAGTTTTATCATTTCTTTTTCATTTATTATTTGGAATACTTGTATAAAGAGACGCTTTTTCTCCTCTACTTTTTGGTTACCAGTGACACAAATCACATAGGTAAGACAGAATAAATGCTTAGATCTTTTCCTTTATAAGCTTTCAAGATAATGAATTGATTTTCTTATCATCTGAAGTTGATCAATTTTTAAAATATCATACTTAAGCATATTTAATTGATTTCAACTTATTGATATAATTACCCTTTGGAAGCTTAATTGTCCCATCTTTGGCCAGTAGGAGCCTCTTCAAGTTGGCTCCTCAATTCTTTTGGCATGCTCTTGTAGGCTTTGTGGGCTCGTTTGCAATGTGGAATGACACATATCCCAGGCTTGTCTTGCACACTGCTTCCTGAGACCTGAAATCATCCATTTCTTTTTCTAGGAAATGATATTTCAAGACCACAGTCTGGGTACTGGGGATGCTCATTGCTACTCAGTCTGTCTTTATTTCTAAGCCTTTTTTTTGTAGACACACACACACACACACACACACACCCCAGGTAAAATAGCTTGAGTTCATATTGATTCTTCCAATTCAAGGTCAAGCTAAAAGATGTTTGTTTTTTTTTTTAACATATTACATCTGTATTTCCTTCCTTCCACACAAATAAACTGGTTCTCAATGATACAAAGAATAATAGAGTTAGAATAGCCCACAATCATTCACTTACTAAATGCATCTCTCATTCTCAAATAACATTAGTTCTGTTATTATGCCACCATCATATAATTTGATATCTTTAAAGAATGTTTTTGTGTAGGGGCGCCTGGCTGGCCTGGTCAGTGGAGTATGTAACTCCTTGTCTCGGGGTTAGTTCAAGCCTCACATAGGGTGTAGAGATTACTTAAAAATAAAACCTTAAAAAACTGTTTTTGTGTGTGCTCTCTCCATTTTATTTATTTCTAATGTTTATTTATTTTTGAGAGAGAGAGAGAGACAGAGACAGAGACAGAGTGTGAGTGGGTGAGGGGCAGAGGGAGTGGGAGACAAAGAATCCAAAGCAGGCTCCAGGCTCTGAGATGTCAGCCCAGAGCCCAATGCGAGGCTTGAACTCATGAACCATGAAATCATAACCTGAGCCGAAGTCGGACACTCAACTGACTGTGCCATCCAGGCACCCCTGCTCTCTCTGTTTTAAAATAGTTGTGTCATACCCACATTATCTGGCCATGCAACCCTACATATTGTATCTTCTCTCTTTTAAATAGCAGTTAGTCTTGGTATTCTGTCTAATGCTCAGTACTAGTCCTTATGTCATTACCTCTTCTCATTTTGGTTTGTCTGAAGCTCGTTTCCTAGTGGATTCTTCAGAAGGCGATCAGAGGAACAATATTACCTGACAGAATCTGATTTTTCCCCCGTAAGTCCATTGTTTTTGCCTACATGACCAAAGAATATAGTAATTTGTGGTTTTGTCTTTTCATCACAGATTTTTTTTTTGTAATATAGGTTTTTGTATTTGTTCTGTTCCCTCAAACAGGAGATTTGTTGGTTTTCCTTTTCAAGGAACCCTATTATTCCTTTCTTTACTCTTTATTGCCTGTCTTTAATATCTGTCGCTGCATTTCAAATGCTTTGGTTTATTCCTTTATTTCTATTTTATTTAAAAGTTTTTCTTCTGTTCCAACTTCTGTTTCTCTGAAGGTATTATCTGTTGCCTTATTAGTTCTTTACTTCGTACTGGTTCAGCCTTATATTTGAAATTAATTTTTAAAAAAAAGAAATTATTTTTTCTTTTTATGTCAAGTTCCTTCCTTAATTGTTATCTCATTTCTGAAGTTTTGTAATTCAGAACTTGTGTGTTCTTTTGTGTCTTATATCATTTTCCTTACACTGTTTAGCCCATTTTGAAATTAAGTTTTTAGTTTTCATCTGTCCTGAGGGTGTGCTTTTCTAGTGTGCTTTCTTGTCTGTGAGGATATTAGTCTGTTCCTCTTCCTATTTTTTCTTATAATAAATTTATATGAAACTTGACTGTGATAATTTTCTGTTGCTCATTTTGACATGACATTAGTTTTCCTGAAGTTTTAGAAGGATGCTTGGCCTAAGGTAGCTCTTCTGGCTTTACAGAACTCCCTATTCTGTTGTCTTCTTGCAATGATCTAAAATAGTGGCTTGCTCCTGAGGTTTCTTGGTTCTGTTTGCTGCCCCTCCTTTTGTCTGGAGTTTCTCATGGCTCTGTCCTGCTTGATTTTGATTTTATTCCCAATGTGGGCTGTGGTTCAGAAAGGGAGACTTAACAGGTCAGTTTCAAGAATTTATAGGGTCCAGGGGGGCCTGGCTGGCTCAGTTGGTGGGGCATGTAACTCTTGATCTTGGGATCATGAGTTCAAGCCCCATGTAGGGCATAGAGCTTATAAAATAAATAAAATAAAATAAAATAAAATAAAATAAAATAAAATAAAATAAAATAAAAATAAAAATAAAATATTGGTTTCCAAACATTAATGAGCTTCAGAATTACTTAACATGTAAAAAAGAAAAAAGAATTTGTACGGTCCAAACTGTTTTGTAATTGCCCTTAGTCTTAGTTCGTATTTATAATATGACACACTTTTATTATAAACTAAACTTTAACCTAGAGAATACAAAATAGCCAGCCTATAAGGCAAACTTTTGATAGGAATTTGTCAATAAAGACCTGAGAGAGAGCATATCAAAAAGGCTAACTCTAATTCATTCCATTCATCCATTTACTTGGTATTTATTATTTACTACTCACTAGGTATCATGCTAAGTCTTGAGAATACAAAAACAAACAAAACAGATGCCTGCCCACATGGAGATGAGTCTATGTATCTTATAGTCTTATAGAAGTTTTTTTTTAATATGTTTGTCAAATGTTAATATAGTTATACTATTACTCATTATACAATTAAAGATTTGGAAACTGTTAGGAAAAGCCAATACTTAGCATCCTTATCAGAGGAAGTATTAAGGATGATTTTTAAACACCTGGATAATTCTGAAAACAAAGTAGCACAGAAAAAGTATCAAATATGACATTAAGAAACTTCCCCTGTATACATTCTTCATAAAAAAAATTATAGGCAAAACTTTTTTTTTTTTTTTTTTTACCTAGTATTTGACGGATTTCTGGCCATTCTCTCTGTACTTGTAGTGCAGACTTCAGTTTAGCACACAGAGGGATATAATCCATGTAATCAATTAATACACGAATAACGCTGCCTACCAAGTGTTTCATCCAAGGAACTGTAATAAACTCACAGAACTGAGAGAATTGATAAAATTTAATTTAGTAGTACATTTAATATACTATATACATAAGCACTCAATTTTGCTATGAAAAATTACTATTGTCTTCTTATGGAAAATACAAGTAGCCTCCTTGTAATGAACAAAAAAGAAAAAGAAATTGTTTACTTGCACCTAGGAAACTATGAGCCCTGAAGCTATGTGCATGACTTTGATGTGATTGCAGTCAAGAGCATGGAAGAATCAGGTGGCTTTCCATGATTCTTCTCTCCATGTTTCCATCTCCCATATTCGACCACATACACATAAATTATTAATTGCATACATTTCCATTTTCGTCTACATTCAGTTTCCAATTCAAGAAAAATAATTAATCTTTTTTGACTAGTTTTATGCTTATCTTCCCATATTATTGCCAAAAAAAATTCAAGAATAAGAAAAATACAAGAGTGGATTTTTCTTTTCTTGTGATATCCCTAAGTGAGCAAAAGTTAGGATGATGACCCAGTAGGAAGAAGAAAAGGATGTAACTCACCGGGTTATCTTTTATTACACAAGATGTCCACCCCGGTAGTACCTCTTCTTCTATCTCTGACCACACAAATGAATTTCCAAAGATGTTCCCATGCATGCAGTCAAAGCACATCTCCACTTGATAGCCATTATTCAGCAACAGCCTCAGCATTACCTCGTCATTTAGGGCATATTGAATGGCACTGGGGAAACGTGTGTCGTTCACACGCATAAAATAACAATTGACGTTAGCTCCGTGGGAGAGAAGCAGCCGGACAATTTCATGGTTATTGGCCCTCACTGCCACGAGTAGACAGTTGAGGGGATCTAGGTTTGGGTCTGCACCTGCAGCCAGAAGGACTTCTGTGCACTGGATATCATTGTTAGAAACGGCAAAATAGAGCGCAGTCTTCCGCTCGTCATCATAGCTCTCGGAAATGTGGTCAGCAAGCAGGGTATTGACATCAAAGCCACTTTCAATAAGCAGCTCTAGGCACTGTGCATTTTGTCCATCTGCTGCTGAGTGAATTGGTGTTAGCCCACTTTTCTGGATTGCATTTTTGGATGTTATTGGGATAAGATACTTCAGCGCACTAAAAAAAAAAAGTCAAATATCCACATGGCATGAAGAAAACGAAGAATTTCAATAAACCAGATTCCTCACTAGACAAGTGAATGCAGCCTGTTTAACTTCTTTTACTTTCTCTAGATAACCTCATACAAAACATTTAACATTTAACCTTTGCCCACTGGCTTACTGCTTAGTTTAGTGTAATTCAGTTTTGTTTTTAGTTTCCCATTCTAAATATTCCTGGGCAACATGCTCAATGTCCTATGTTTGGTCCTAGAGTTGTGGTTCCTTAGGAACCCTCTCCATCTTCCAATTCTCTTTGGAACAACATAATATTTATAAACAACCAAAGCTATTTAATGAAAAAAATATAAAAGGTTAGCTCATCTGACCCCATAGAAGAACACTTCATAATCTTGACCATGAGAATTATGGAGTCATAGGACGTGACCTTGAACATTGCTTAGTCCAACCCCTCATTTAACGGAAGAGCAACAGGAAGTCTGGAGAGGTGAAATGACTTGTCCAAGGTCACACAGCTGGATGTGGAGCAAGGACTAGAGTCCAGGCCTTTTGAATTCTCATTTGTTACTTCTCTCTCACTGCTTCCTGAGCAGTCTATGCTTCAGTAGTGGCCACGCACATCCTGCCTCCCTCCATATAGCTTGCAATTGAATTAATAGCCACAAAAAAAAGAGTCTTTATTAGTCCATCACCCTTTATCAGTCCAATGGGGATAACTCGCCACAGCTTAGGTTTCTAAGAACCTGTGATAAACAGTTGTGAATTTCACACTTGCCTGAACAACTAGACACACATGAGAGCCACAGCAAGGATAACTTGATCTCTTGTGCCTAATTCAGAGCTACCATGTGTGAATTTATGAACACTGGGAGTAAATCCAGGTAACTTTAACAACATGTCACTTAGCGTCAATTATGTGTCATTGGCCACTTAGCCAATGTGGCCACTGAATGCGCTAAAGCCTAATGATTTCAAAGTTTTTGAACTTATAAAATATATTTAATCTCCTAAAGCCATCCTCTTATGGTGGGTGGTTTAATATAGTGATTGTAGATTTCTATTGATGTGTTGATTGTGGCACATTTTGTGATTTAAAAATCTATCCGACCTTCCCCCCCACCCCAAGAATAAAGAAATCTGAACTTATGGTGAAACTTCTCTATTCAAGGATAAATTTGACATTATATCATAGTACCTGTAGGTATTAATAAAAATTAGAGTAATACTGGTGGCATTGTCACAAAGTCCTTTGTCAAAGGCAAAAGTTTTAGAAACCATGTAGCTTTTTGTTAAACACATTGAAAAACAAAACAAAACAGAAAGGCATATTTAAGTGGTTTGTGCAGAATTCTCAGTTATAACTTACTTCCTTCTAAAAGAAAAATTTTTGATTATAAAAGTGGTATAAGTTGAATGTGGAAATTCTAGAAAAGTACCAGAATATAAAAAGAAAGGGAAAAATCAAACAAATATTTATGTACCCAAAACTTGTGAACAGTGTGTCTTTTTCTTTTCAGATTTTGGGAGGTATTAAATAGATAAGACTTGAGATTCTACTGTACATACAATTTTGTATATTTCAACTTAAAATGATCCTCTTATGATTTATTACTCACAGATAATGTCCCTCATAGGCAGCTCGGTGTATTGGAAGATGCCCTGCTCTGTTGGGTACATTTCCACTTCCTCCATATTCCAGCAGGAGGGAAATGCAGTCAGGATTGCCCCCTCCTGCTGCCTCAAACAATACTGAAGCCCCATCATCCGCCAAAGCAAACACATCACCACCTGGCAATATAAAACATATGGCAGAATGATAACTGGAGTTATCTTGAAATTGTCATGACAGTCGCCTTAATAATAACCTGCTGTTTTCCTTTCTGGCTAGGACTTAAAATTAAAAGTATAAGATTAAGAACAGCTGTGTTCTCAGTATTTTCAATAAACAATTATGCATGCGTGTTTCATTTTATTAGAAAATCTTTGCATGAGAAATCAAGAAGTCAATTTACAAGGTAGACAAGTGCTCCCAAGAAAAGGAGTAGTTAGCCTTTCAAATTTAAAGGCAATGTTAACACTCTATTCCATTTCAACAACTGCCCTCTATGTGCTGTGTGTGACCCAGCAGAAGATCCTAAAATGAAAAAATAAGAATACCTTAAGGAGCTCAGAAGAGAAATGAGACAAAATATTATCAAAGAACACAAACCGCATAACATTCGGACTAGGAGTCCGAAGTGACATTAGGACTAGGAGTCATGATGTGGGAGAAAGAAGTGTTTGAATTCTGGCTCCGCTGTAGACTGAGAGAGTCTGGGGCAAGCTACTTACTTCTACGAATATCTGTCTCCTCCTCTGTAAAATATCGCTTATTTCATAGGGTTCATACGATAATTAAATGAGGTTGTGTTGTTGGGAGGGGGGCTCAAAAATGTTAGTTTTTTCTCCATAGAGGATCCTTGGGGGAGCATATGGCCCTAGCCTTTATTTACAAAGGAGGAAACTGAGGACCAGAAGTTTTAGTAAGGGTAGGAGGATTCGTAGGTCATGATGTATAGGGAGTAATTAAGTTGTGGAAGAGGGGATTTCAAGAGGTTTCTCGAGGAGCTGGGTACAAAAGCCTGAGGCCCAGTTACATTCAGGAGAGAAAGGGGAGGCAATGAGGAATGGAGAAAAGGAAATTGAGGGACAGGAGAAACAGCAAGAATGTGCAATTCCTTTTCAGATACCTCTGTGGATTAGGTGTTCCAACACATCACAGTGACCATACTCAGCAGCAACACCTAACGGCGTGACTCCAAATCCGTCTCTCAAGTGGACATTGCCTCCGTGGTTTAGTAGCAGCGCTATGATATCCTTGCGGCCTTGTTTGGCCGCTTCATGCATTGCTGACCATCGCTTGATGCAGGGCTGGTCAAGGCTGGCATTGTGTTTAAGCAGAGTGAACACCATGTCGTAGGAGCCCTTTTTTACAGCTGGAGGATGATTTCAAAAAGAACGTCAACAGTAGGCATATTGGCATGGATACTTTAGATGGTATGAAACGTTATTAAATTTATTTTTTAATTTTTAAAAATGTTTATTTACTTTTGAGAGAGAGAGAGAGAACAAGCAGGGGAGGGGCAGAGAGAGAGGGAGAAAGACGATCCAAAAAGGGCTCTGTGCTGACAGCAAACAGCACGATGCTGGGCTCGAACTCCCCAACCATGAGATCATAACCTGAGCCAAAGTCGGATGCTTAACTGAGTGAGCCACCCAAGTGCCCCTAACTACTAAATTTAATGCCAAAATAGATATTACCTATTCCTTCTTCTTCTATAAGAAAATATTGTAGTTTTCATACTCCTTCTATTTCTCACACCCAAGATGATGTCTTTTCAAGACCCTGGTCTGAGGAGGATAAGACTTTCATGGAAATCATGCGCATCTCTAAAATAGGATGTTATGTATACTCTTTCTAAACTTTAGAAAATGAAAATAAGTGAAATGAAAATAACATCCTCTGTTGGGTTGTATAAATTAAATAATGTATGGAAATGCTTAGTATATACTAGGAGCTCAATAAATTATAACTATTATTATTAATATAATTTCATCACTTCTAGGATTCTGGAGCCACATGTGTGAATAATGTTTATCAAGTCCCCTCATCACCCCCCAGAAACATTTTTTTTCCTCCACCAAAGATAGCAGCACGTATTAAATGAACTTCTCTTTCCTGTGGTCTTAATGGGAGGTTAGCAACGAGAAGGTCTAGAATCCAGGTAGGTCCAATGTTCTAAATAGGTGAAGTCTATGATAGCTAATGTACTGCAGTGTAGGGGATTCACTAAATTGTATGTCGCTCTCCCCCTCTGCTTGTTTCTAATAGATGAAATTACAGGTAAAATTTCCCCCAACTCGGCTTTGGATTATTTAAGAGATTGTCCCAATTTAGGTATAAATAATTCTGGAAGACGTAATGTCTCTTATCAGTAAGTCAAATCTTAGTAAGAAACAGAGAAGGACGAGTGCTACTCCCTGCAAATGGAGGTAAATACAATTACATTAACTCACTCATTTGTTCATTCATTCATTCATTCATTCATTCAGTTGATATGCTCTGGCTATATGAGAGGCACTGCCGGATCCTGTGGACAACGGGGAAAAGATGGACTTGGTTCTCACTCATGCAATTGACAATTTAGGGAAGAAGCCTATATTGTCTTCCATTTGAAGAGAGACTCAAAGTCCAGGTCTTTGCTGGGAAATACAGGACGAGATGGGGGTGGGGGGCACATAGAACATCTTGGGGAGCAAGGGGGCAGAATACAGAAAGCATCTCAGGCCAAAGCAAGGGAAAGGGCCCTCAAAGGCATGACAAGAGGATGAAGACTTAATTTGGAGGCAGGCAAGCCATCACTGTGGTGAGATTTCAGTTTTTCTCCTGCTCACTAGAGTCTGTTGACAAATGCCTTTCTCTGAATCACCCACCTGCCGCTGGCAGCTCTAATTATAGTGAATTACCTCATCCTAGCTGGTGTCATTGCAGAGAAAACATCAATAAGTTAAATGAACTAAGAGGTATGTGTCCTCATTTATCTTCTTGCTCCTGTTACATTTTTTTCTAGAAAAAAAATGAATTCAAATAATGAATCTCTTCCATTGCGATCTGTTTTCCTTTTGTCTGACCCAGAAAACATGTTGATTATAGATATTAGTCTTTTTTCATGAAAATATCATAGACAGGCCATATTCAGCTTAAAATAATTTAAAAAATAAAACTTTACTTGCAGTTTAACTGTTTTGGAACTAATAATTTATTTTATTTTGAATAGGAATAATAATGGAAGTCATGGGAACACCTCCCAAACTAACCCATGAAGACATTCTTAACCAATAAATGGCTGAAATAATGAAAACTAATAAGGCACAGTATTTGTCTAACACAACTAAGTAAAATAAAGCTTAAGATAACTTATATAGCAAAAAATATACATATATCTTCAACAATAATGCTTAAAGAAACAAACTTCAGTTGAAAAGTTAGGGAATTAGAGACTTGCATAGATTATAGGCACATTTAAACACTTTATAGTTTGCTGGCACTATTCCTTTTAACCTTAAATTTCTGTAATTTTCTCTTTTTTATGTTTATTTATTTATTTTGAGAGAGAGAGAGAGAGCGTGCACGCATGGAGAGAGTCAGAGAAAGAGAGGGAGAGAGAGAGAATCCCAGGTAGGCTCCCAGCTGTCAGTGCAGAGCCCGACGCGGGGCTTGAACTCACAAACTGTGAGATCATGACCTGAGCAAGAACTAAGAGTCAGATGATTAACCAACTGAGCCACCCAGGTGCCCAAATTTCTGTCATTTTCTTTCTTTTTCTTGATATGCATGTTTTGCTCATGTAATTTTTTTTATTATCAGCAGTGATTTATCTTGTGACTCCTAAGACATACAAATTAGAGAAGAGATATTTTTCTGAGGCTTCTTGACAAGGATGGGCAGACTGAAAGAGGAGATGGAGTGAAGAGGATGCTTATTGATTTGTGAGAAAGACAGTGTCTGAAATAAAATTAACTGAGCTGTAAATGACATGAGGATGTGGGACAAGAAGGGCAGCAGAACTGAGATGTTGTGCCCCATGGTTCCCCGGGCTTCCTCTATCCCCTGGACCCTGCTGGCCAGGACAATCTCGTGGCTATCCAACTAGAGAAAGGTGACACCAACTTCAGAGGAGTGGGCAAAGAAGGAGTGTGAGCACAAAATACCCTCATTAAGTGTCAGATGATCACAAATTAGATATCTAAACCTCAGCAAGTAACCATGTGATGGACTGTAAGACATCAAAGTACCACAAGTAAGGGCCCGATGGCTGATAGCAAAGAAGGGCCCTGGAGAGACCTAAAGTGATTTTTTTTTTGCCATCTAAGCATATTCTGTAATAAAGACAAAGACAATGCCATCAGGCTAAGAAAACTAAAAATGACATTACACATAAAAATAAAAAGAACAACATATTTTTCTCTTATCTCTCCCTTTGTAAGTTAATGGACTATGAGTAGCAAATTTCAAAGTAGCCTACAGAGTCAAAAAGAAAACTGGGAAGGTGCCACAGATGATCCGTTTTCCTATAGAACCTAAAAATACTTGACATGGGTTCCACCAAGAAGGTCCTGGGAGAAGGTAACCCAAGAAAAAAATTTTTCCCCAGGTATGTGGATGATGGGGACATAAATGAACACCTTCAGAAAAGTTCCTTCCTGAGACTTTTGTCTTCTCTTTGAAATTACCATTTAGCTTTTAAAATTTTTTTTAAATGTTTATTCATTTTTGAGAGACAGAGTGCAAGTGGGGGAGGGGCAGAGAGAGAGGGGGACACAGTATCTGAAGCCAACTCCAGGCTCTGAGCTATAAGCACAGAGCTGGCATGGGGCTCAAACCAATGAACCATGAGATCATGACCTGAACTGAAGGTGGACGGACGCTCAACCGACTGAGCCACCCAGGCGCCCCTTACCATTTAGCTTTTAACATTATTTCCGAATGTTAATTCTATTTTGACTCTGATAACATAATGATCAACTGCCTTTCCCATACTTCAGATATTTCTGGAGTAGAGAAACTAACACATGCAACTTTGAAATATATATAAATACTGAATGCTCTGTTGTAAGCATTAAAAGCAAAGAGAAATCAAATGAGGGATAATCATGACTTAGTTGTGCTTTATATAAGTGAATTGAGGATAGCAAGTAGAGAATAATTCTACATTTGCAAAATAAGGCAGTATACAAACTCTGGAAAGGTGTGTGCTTTTTTTTTTTTCAGAAATTAAAGATCTACAGATATTTATAGAATTATTTATAGCAACAACAACACATACATGGATGTCATTGCAAATACCCCATGGCAAGTGCCTTTAAAAATAATACAGATCACATTAATAGTGGTGATGTAACCATAGGTGAATATGCCATTTCATATGTATAGAACCTGCCCAGGATGAGAGTTTTGGTTTACTTCTAAAAAGCATCAGTTATTGTAACAAATTCCACAACTCTACATGACAGGAAATGTTATCTCTGGTCATTTGTAGTTAATCCCATCTCACTTTTACAAACAGACTTGCCAATTTTTATTGGTCAACAGAAATAGCAGGATGCACAGACTGAGAAGAAACTGACAAATGACAGCTTTAGGTTTACCATCATTCCTTGTGTCATAGTTGTGAACCCCTTCATAGGTGCCCACTGCTGCATCTATGTGATCAGAATCTGCTGACGCTTCATTGTTCTGATGTGGACCTTCAATCTCTCTTTCCAACCCTCTTTCTGCTTCTTTCTTCTTGCTATCTGCTGCACATGCAACCTTACTTACAACTGACCACCACCTAGAGAATATTCCTTTAGAACTGGCACTGCTCAGGGCACCTGGGTGGCTCAGTTGGTTGAGTGTCCGACTTTGGCTCAGGTCATGATCTCATGGTTCCTGAGTTTGAGCCCCGTATGGGGCTCTGTGCTGACAGCCCAGAGCCTGTAGCCTGCTTTGGATTCTGTGTCTTCCTGTCTGCCCCTCTCCCGCTCACGTTCTGTCTCTCTCAAAAATCAATACACATTAAAAAAAAAAAAAAAAAAAGAACTGGCACTTCTGGCTTCACAAAACTCCAGGATTGGATCCAGCACTTAGTTGGTGCTGAAGGATCTTTCACATTGGACCTCTTTGTAGGATTAAAAAAACAAAATCATAAGGCAGATGAGATGGGTGTTAGGGGAGGAGCTCAGGGAAGAGAAGGAGATGAGGTCACATAACTTCAATACATAGTGGTTTACAATAAATACTTATTAAATATTCATCAAACTATGAAAGTTCTAGAAAAGAAGATCATTTACCAATCAGAAGTGGCGTCTCTCCTTTGTCGTTTTTGGTGTTTGGCCACACTCCCTTTTCTAGTAAAGTTCTTACATTTTCCACCAGACCAGCTTTGACTGCCAAAGTCAAGGGTGTTTCTCCTTCAGAGGTCTTGAACTCCCAGAGTGTCTGGTAGGATGCTGAGATATGAAAGTATTGTATAAAGTTAAAAATCTTAAAGGATATTACAAAGATCAGAGTAATTCAACATTACATACTTTGGATTAGACAAAGTCAACTGATGACAAGGAAAGATTAAAAGATGTGATTCAAGTTTATCAAATGATGGTGAGTATACATAGATGAGCATGTACTCGACAGCTAGAAAACCAACATCTGTGTTCCAAGGTTGTTTTTATTTTTTTAGTGGATTGTATATTCTTTTTTTTTTATTTTTTTATTTTATTTATTTTTTTTTTCCAACGTTTATTTATTTTTGGGACAGAGAGAGACAGAGCATGAACGGGGGAGGGGCAGAGAGAGAGGGAGACACAGAATCGGAAACAGGCTCCAGGCTCCGAGCCATCAGCCCTGAGCCCGACGCGGGGCTCGAACTCACGGACCGCGAGATCGTGACCTGGCTGAAGTCGGACGCTTAACCGACTGCGCCACCCAGGCGCCCCTATTCTTTTTTTTTTTTAAATATAAATTGTAAAATAACTCCCTGGTCCTTTGTATTATTATTTAAATTGCACCTGAAACTGATTTTTGTCAAATAAAATCTGTGAATGTCAGAATGAGAATGTATCTGAATACTGTCAGAAAATGTTAGAAAAGAAATACCATGTTTATCATCACCTTCTACATCTATTTGTCTCTCCGTTGAGCTATCTATTTTCTTCTGGCTGGCTGGCTGGATAGTCAATTATCAAGCAGCAAGGATTGCCTCCTAGAGCACAGAACGAGGGAGCACCCTTGAGGGTTGAAAGACAGGGCACTTACAAGACATTTAAAAAGTTGCTGAGGGGTGCCCGGATGGCTCAGTTGGTTCAGCACCTGACTTTGGCTCAGGTCATGATCTCACAGTTTGTGAACTGGAGCCCTGCTGTACTGACAGCTCAGAGCCTAGAGTCTGCTTTGGATTCTGTGTCTCGCTCTCTCTCTTCCCCTCCCCTGCTCGTGCTCGCTCTCTCTCTCTCTCTCTCTCTCAAAGAAATAAACATTAAAAGAATAATAATAAAATAAATTTGCCTAGATGTGACAAATATTATGTTAGAACATCAAAATTATTAATACTTAACCCTCTGTCAATTCACTTAACCGTGAAGTTGATTCACTGTGATACTGATTCATGTTTCCACCATGAAAAAATTAATGCAATATAAGTACAAAATATTGTAAATATACTTGTGCATGATAATGATCTTTTGAAAACTGTTAACTCAAGACATAGTTCAAGATGAAAAATTAAATGCTGACTCCCAAAAGCAAAATGTTTTATATTTAGATCAATTAATTCATGATATATACAAGCTTTTATTACTTTTAGGTTACAACCACATCTTTGTGCCAACTTTATCACATTCATAGAAGGATTCAAAGGGCGAAAACAGAAGCTCACAAAATGTGTTGGTTCTTAATTCTGAGTGTAAAACATGGGTATTCTCTTTCCCATGTACAAAATTATCTTTTACTCTGCTCTTTCTTTTTGCTTTTTATGTTATGGGAAGTTATGGGATCACTCATAACTTCTTTTGCTTCTGTTGGGTCAAAGAGATTTTATGTTCTCTTACCATCCAGAACAACTTCAAGTATTTGTTGAATGGGTTGAACCACAGCTTCATGCAATGGAAACCATCCTTTTTCATCAGCTTCATCCAATGCATGTTTATACTTCACATATTCCTGGAGCTCAAGAATGTGACCTAAATTAAACATACCGGCTGGTAACAAATCTCTGTCTTGGCAACGTGAATTCTTCAACCTGCCCCATTCTAGGCAATACACCCATTTTACCTTGTTTTATGGCTTCCACAAGTTTTCTGTTTTGATCACTCAGTGGTACAAACCTACCAGAGAAAGAAAAATAAGCCATATTTATCCTAGTGGTGTACTTCAAAAAACCCAAACGTTTAACTTATATTGAGTTTTTGTACATGATTTTAATTATCACGATCTACAGGAAATGCACACAACTGATTTTATCTACTGTATTAGTACCATGCTCTAACCAACTGAGATAACCAGCTAACTTAAGTGTGTCTCCTTTAAAAACGTAAATGCTCAGGAATCAGGAACAGTATATTTGTGATACACCAGACCTAGGCACATTAGTACAGATGACAAAATACAAGATTATAACACTGTCTCTGTAATGAGTTCTAAGCAATGATAAAGAATTAAACAGTTGTAGTCGGGGTCAGGAGAGCTAGTTTCGGGTTTTGTGATTTAGTGTCTCTGTGTAGTGGTTTCTTTATCTCTAAAATGATGGGATTACATAGGAAGATCTCTAAGGCTTTTTCCAACTTTAAAAATTCTATGCTCAGTAAATGGTGCTTTGAACTTAATAATTGCTAATTAATAATTGCTAAATTGGGAGCTTATGATCCAACACTGCATGTTAGAGTCTTTAATCAATGGATCTGCAAGTGAAAAGAGGTTGAGCGTTTTACTGAACAAATTCCAGTCATTGGCCCAACCCTCACGGCAGTTCTCTGGTGTGTGTTTATTCTAAGGAAACAAGGTATTTCATAACAAATTGATTCAACTCTTTTAAGCAGAAACATCTGTTAGCATTTTACGGTTGTTAAAGCCTTCTTGGGAATTCTGTTGGGCATAAGGGAAAAATGAAAGAGACCCAGTTTAAAGGTACCATGTCCATTTTTAAGAAGCTCATAAGCAATAATTTTATAGAACTGAATTTATTCAAAAGCACTACTAGGGGTGTCTGGGTGGCTCGGTGGGTTAAGCGTCCAATTTCAGCTCAGGTCATGATCTCATGGTTCGTGGGCTCGAGCCCCATGTAGGGCTCTGTGCTGACAGCTCAGAGCCTGGAGCCTGCTTCGGATTCTGTGTCTCCCTCTGTCTCTGCCCCTTCCCTGCTCGTGCTCTGTGTCTTTCTCTCTCAAAAAATAAATAAACATTAAAAAAAATGAAAGCACTACTAAATTTCAGAATACAGGATTCTAAGTACTATAAAAAAACGTAAAGTTTATTTTCATCAGAAGTGCCATGTGTGTTGTTCAAGACAGAAATCTACTTTTTCAGTTTCAGACTCTATAACTCCTTCCTGCTAACATAAACATCAATTTTGTATATAATTTGTTAACTTCTGTCATTTGGAAAGTAGATAATTAAATAGGCTATGGTTTACATATTGCTGTTTTTACTAAAAGCCCTCGACTCTTCCCATTCATTACGCTTAGGGCCTAATCCATATTATTTTTCATATTTTGAAGATCCAAAAATGAAATACATTACTTACGAAGGCTGTCTGAGTCCGTAGCAGAGTGGGCTCTGGAATATTCAGAACAGATCTCTGTAAACCTATTTAGTTGTATAAACTGTACTTGCAAATTTGTTCAAGTTACTTACTGATATTTTGATTCTATATTAATTTAAAAAAATAGGCAATCCTATACAACCAAATTCAATTAAGAACTTTCCGTTTAGGTTATTTCCATCTTCCACAGGAGGTGGGGATTTGGGAAGATCATACTGCTAAAACCTATGCACAGTGGCCCTTGTAAAGCCATTGGAATCCCTGCCAGAGAAGAAGAGTAAGCATTTCCCTAGAGGAGAAGTCAGGAAGAGTCATTTTATCTGACAACAAAATGAATGCCATAAAGAAATTTTGTTGAGCATAGTCAATTTGAATGTTACCTTTCAGAAGAAAATGCAGACTTGCTGGCTTCAATGGATTCTTGAATACTGAGCTGAATATCATAACTTGTAAGATGGTCTTCATCGGGGTCATCATTAGTATCCATGACTGGATATAAATTTGAAAGAGGCAATTTCTTATTATCAGCAAACGACACAGAACAGTATATACAGTTAATGTGAAGATGCAAAATGAAAAACTAAAATGCATTCACCGTTCTTCATTGAACAAACACAAATGCAGTCAACATTTTAATCCGTTTTACATATGAAGCCCATCCTAACCTTTGACACCTTTAACTACCTGCCATTTGGGTGTCTGCATTTTCTGATTTTGGACTTCCTTTTCATTAATGGCTGCCATTAGGCTAATAAGAACACACTTTTTCGACGCTTCTGACTTACACTAATTTCAGCCCATCAGTTTTCTGAAGACGCTGCTCTACACAGCACATGAGAAGTACATTAGAAACTCAGACCAAGAAGAAGGAAGATAGAGACAGGAATACAGAACAGGGAGCCTTTCACATTCTTACCTTTTAATGTTATACCTGCTGTGTTTGCTTATTTGCTGATGTATTCTTTTTCTCACATCAGTAAAGGTTTGAGTTGGCTTTGTGTTCAAATTCTGCTAACAGACTCTACACTCCCTTTGAGGGAAGGGCTCTACCTCACTCATCTCTCCACCCCTTACGACTCTAGAAGGGGCTTGGCCCAGAGAAGCTTCTCAATGAACATTTGTTGAATTAAAGTAGAGAGAACAAAATGTCACAAATGCAGTGGCCTTGCCTTATCCGCAAGAAGTGTAACAGAGCAGATAGAGAAGATGTGAAAGAAACTTTAAACAGAAGGAACTGAGAACTTCAAACACTGTTCTTCGTGAGCAACTACTGTCTAGTCTCACATATGAAGTGAACAGGTTTTAAAATTCCAGAACTTTAAAATAAGACAGGGGATGGGGTGCTGGGTGGCTCAGTCAGTTAAGTGTCTGACTTGGGCTCAGGTCATGATTTTGCGGTTTGTGAGTTCGAGCCCCGCGTCGGGCTCTGTGCTGACAGCTCAGAGCTTGGAGCCTGCTTCAGATTCTGTGTCTTCCTCTCTCTCTGCCCCTCCCCCCACCTCTCTCTCTCTCTCTCTCAAAAATAAACATAAATAAATAAATAAACATTAAAAAAATTTTTAAATAAGACAGGAGAGGGTTAATCTGACAAAAACAGCTTTAGGCATCTGGAGAACTTCCTTACTGACTGGCTCAGCTGGGTGATAGACCACATGGGTTCTCCGGGTACTGTGGGACATCTAACTCTATGGACTTGTGCTACCTGCATTCCTGGCCAGAAAGAAAGACCCTTTCTGATACCTTGGTAGAAGGGCATCCTTAATTAGTTAGGGAGCCTCAGTTGGGGATGCTGGAACTGCTACTACATGGCAGTTCTACAGGCATGGTAAAGACCAACTTTATTAAGGGAGGCTTAGTTGTGGGCAGTTCCAGCAGGTGCATTAACCTGGAAAACAATAAGCAGAGTAAAAATGAACTCGTGCTTTCGAAGAATAAAAAAAACGGAGAGGCTTTGGGGCTTATTTACATAATTTATTGATTCCTATTTCAACTCTTCCTAATGCACTTTCTTGTTTCAACCAGATCAGACCCACCACAAACGGTTGGGCAGAATGTGCACTACACAAGTGTTCCTGGCTGAGGGAATCCAGCCAAATCTCCCCTAATGGAGTTGTACAGTCTGGCAGAGTGCTACACACGCCCCAAGGAAGCAGCATCTTTTTTTCATTTGCAACAAAGCAGCTTTGGCCTGTGGGATTCCTGAATTGAGTTGAGCATTTTTTAACAAAGGGAAGTTAAGCAAAAAGGTGCCTAATTATTTAGTGTTTTGGATAGTAAATGAGGAGAGATACCTTTTAGCAGCTAGTCTTCCAAACTTTTCCCAAAGTGGAAGGGTCTTAGGATTGGATTACTCTCCTTCAGACAAGGTAAGAATACTATGGCAACGACGTCCATCCTGCTTCTTGACTTGAACCTTCACATGGCTACTGTTTGGTCCCCATTTTTGTTTTCTGGCTGGTCTTACAGGGAACGTCGTGTAGTGTTATGGTCTCAGAGCATCATTTGAACAACTGAAATAAGGACCCTCTTAATTCCATCCCCAGAGCAGAGACCAGCCATCTTATGGAGCCCCTATTCATTCTCCTGCATAGTTCCGTCCATTACAAGCCACTGCTATTGACTGGCCCATCTTCTCCGAAGATAGACACAAAAATGTAGATTACTTCTCATTGGTTTATTTCTTCAAAATATCAAATTAAAGGAGTGAGTGTCTCTCATTACTATTGGGCCAGTTGCTCTCTCTTCTTGAGAGAGAAAATTTAGTAAGTGTAGAAATAAAAATAGTTCTATGACTAGGTTTAATGATCAATATGAAATCATTTTTGATTAGTGGTACTTTATGAGCCAAAACGTATTACCTATTTGAAACTTTACATCGTTGTGTGTTTTTCCAAGGAGAAAAAAAAATGGTTTTCCCTGGGCAATTTTCAAAACACAGCTGATATTACCACTTCTCATTGCTCAAGTTTAGATAAACTCAAACTTCTCCACATACTGATAGCCAGGGTGCCTGACCTGTGGACATACTGCATGTGAACTCGATAGCATCATTTTGATTGTATTTTTGTTGTTCTGCACCAGTGCCCTTACTATCATCTTGGAACATTAAAGAGAGAATAGTAGTGATGTTGGGAGACTGCCCGTGAGAGAGTAACGACATCCAGTAAGTGTATTTCCTCACATGGTGATATCTTAGTCTCCTCAAAAAGCCAATATGCGCTCTAGGGGTCTTATTTGCCAAATACACTCAAGTAGTATTTTACTTTTTATTAATTGCTTATTCGTTCATTGTCTGTCTCCTCCCCCTAGAATGTAATCCAATAAGATCAGAGAATTAGCCTGTATCTCCAGTGCCCGAGAAGCACCATCTCAAGGTCCGTGGTCTCTATAACTGTGTGAATGAAAGAATGAATGAATTAGTTAATTAAAAAAAAAAAAAAAAAAAAACCCTAACATAAGCTAGGCCCTGCTTTTAAAACTAACCATTGTACTCAGGGATGGAGATTTTTGTCCACTGAGACAAATCTGATTGCCCTCTCTGTGTTTGGCTTCATTCTTCTCACCTCTGCTTCCACATCTTCTCCTTCTTCATTCGCAAGCCCCTGCGGCTCTTCCATGCACATGCCCCATACACTATGTCAGGCCTGGCTCAAGACGTCCCTCCTATGGAAGCCTTGCTGAAATTCTCCAGTTCCCCTCTGGCCTTCCTTATCTGCGAATATCTCCTCTTCTATAATATTTTTCCAGTATCTGGATTTCCACTCCTTCTGTATTTGCCTGGCAAATTTTTCACGTATTTGTGTTCTGTATTCTCACTTGGGTTATTAGTTTTCTGAGGGAAGAAAATACCTTACTTACTTTCTTTTTCCTTTTCTATCTTTTCTCTCTACTTCCACTGCTAGTCAACTACAGCAAATGGCTGTTCTCAGTGGAAAAAAAGTTGTTGACTCATTACCAGCAGACACACACGGAGTCCTTCAGACGGCACGATTAGATCATGAAGTTCAACCTGTGGTATTGCCTGCTGCCTCTCTCACTGGTATCACTGTGGCGATAGGGGGATTGCATGGCTTTGGGATTAGTAATGAGATCCAGAGCCTTTTACCTATTTAAATCACCAGCTCAGTTCTAACCCTGCTTGAAATTTGGACTTCCAGTACCTGAGATACCATAGACTCCTTAAAGAACTGAGTTGATCTGTGGAAAGTTTCGCTTTTTATTTTTTAATGTCATTTTAACTGCCATCCAGAAGAAGGGTACCTAAGACTCTTAACTGTTTTGTATCCATAATAAGCCTAGGGTAGAAACAGTGAAGAAACCCCTACCACAGGGAACAACCCGTCTTACACAAGCTGTCTCCAACCTTTTCCTAAAAGCCCAGGACGAAATAAAGATCTGTGTGCAAGTGCACTAAAGTGTCATAGAGATCATCAAAGAGCACGATTGGAATAGATCTAGAGACATCATGATGCAATGAGAAGAGCAAAGAGAAGAGTTATTTATGTGTATCTCAAATTTAAAATGACCAGGATTCAATTGCCCGCCTTTATTTAAGATTATTTAAATAAAACACCAGCCAGGAATCTGAGGAAAAGCCGAACAATATTTCGACATCCTTTAAGACCTATTCACAAGTGCTCTACTTCTCAGTCTAGAGAAATTAACTGACGCTTCCTAAATAATGGTTTCCCGGTCTTGTTCTGGAGAAGCCCTCTAGTGAGATTTATTTCCCATACGTAGCTGCTTACAAACTAATTGGAGCAAGTATGTTGGGAAATTAGCCTTTTCATTTAAAGCACAAGTTAACCATTGATGGATGAATGGATAAAGAAGAATGGATAGATGAATGGATATGTATAATGGAATATTACACAGCCACACACACACAAAATGAGATCGCGCCATTTGCCACAACATGGATGGACCTAGAAGCTATTATGCTAAGTGAAATAAGTCAGACTGAGAAAGTCAAATACAACGATTTCACTCATATGTGGAATCTAAAAAAAACAAATGCATAAACAAACAAAAAGCAGAATCAGGCTTACAAATACAGAGAACAAACTGATGGTTGCCAGAGGGGGAGGAGAAAAAGGCGGCGGCAGGGGGGGATTGAAGAAGGAGTTGCAGGCTTCCAGTTAAGGAATAAGTCATGGGAATAAAGGCACAGCGTAGAAAATACAGCCAATGACATTGCAATAGTGTTGTATGGTGACACACGGTAGCTACACTTGTGGACAGCATAGCATAACATAGAGTTGTTGAGTCACTATGTTGTACACCTGAAAATAATGTAACATTGTGTGTCAACTATACTCAACTTAAAAATATTTAAACAAAAAAAAAGTGGAGCGCTGGTTAACCTTCCTTAAGGTCAAGAACACATTTGATGAAAAGCAATGGATTCTCTCTCCAGAGGGATGCATGCCCACTCAAAATTCTGCATAAAATTTTGAAGAATTCATGGGACCTCTAAAGCCCTTTCCC